CACACACATGCCACGCTCACACACAGAATGCACACGCCTCACACACCCAGGCACGCACCCGTCAGGGGTTCCCCGCGCTCAGAGATGGTCCCAGGTACGGGATTCAGCAAACAGCCGGACCCCTCCCGAGCTCTCGCGTGAGGGCGCCCGCACCATGGGATGCGGAGGCCACTCTGCTGGAGGGAGGCTCTGGGCCGGGAGGCAGGACCGCCCCCCACCCCCCCGGACGGCCTCTGTGTGCGGCCCCACCCGCGGGCTCGGGGACAGAGCGTCCCACAAGGCACCGGGGCGTCCAGTGGCTCCAGCCCGGCCGGAAGGGCAGTTTTCTCCCCACCAGCTCCACATTCTCGCCGGGGGACACCGCACGTGCCGTCGTGGGGAACGATGGCCGTGCCAGCACCAGGGCGACCGGGGAGGCCATGCCCGGGATGTGCCCGCTGCCGCGCCCCCGGTTGGGATCTCCGCTCCGTCAGCGGGATTCCCGCGTCTCCCTGGCCATGACCCACGGCAGACCCCTGCTCAATCCCGGCCGCTGTGGGCGAGCCTGCCCTCCGCCCCCATCACCAGGGCGCGGCCTAGACTTCAATTTCCTTGCCCCTGACGCTCACCCTCCCGGTTCCCCAAAGAACTCTGCTGGGCTTCTGACATGCATTCAACAGGTGGGCTAGCGTGGGGAGGGCTGACGTTCTGGCGACATCGAATCGCTGGCCCGTCCGCCAGCAGCTCCCCCTTGATGCAGGCCTCCTTTTATGCCCTTCGGTTTCGTCGTTTTGTCCAAGAAGGTTGTTACACTTATTGTAGCGTTCTGCCATTTCGCTGCTGTTAAAATACTTTGTTTATTATTGCTAGGAATGTTAATGACCTTTTGTGGGTTGGTCTTGTAGACTCTTATTAGTCTCAATGACAGGCTGAGCCACCAAGCCTGGCCAGAACATATAACTTTCAAAGTGTGACGAGTTGGTAATGTTTTTCAATGAACGTGCCTCTTTTTTTCCTTTGATATCGTAATCACTGGCCCATCCAGTAAGTAATTTTGAATAGTAGTGGGATTCCTATTTTGCATTGCCTTTAACGGGGCTAGTTCTAAAATATCTCGATGTTTAAAATTTTTGATGCAAAGATTTTGTTAGGGACACTACATTTGGGAATAGAAATTTTCTTCTACTCCTACTCAGCATGACATGATAAACAAATGCTGACTGCAAACTGAATTACTTTCTCTGCATCTGCTAAATATTGATATTGGACCATCCTTGCATTCCTGGGGCTAACTTACTTGGTTAGAACATATAACTTTTTTTTTGAGTTGGAGTCTCACTCTGTCGCCCACGCTGGAGTGCATTGGCACACTCACAGCCACCCCAGTGTCAACCTGCTGGGCTCTGGCAATCCTTCCGCCTCAGCCTTCCAAGTAGCTGGAGCTACAGGTGTGTGCTACCACCACCAGCTAATTTTTGATTTATTGTAGAAACAAGTTCTCGCCAAGTTGCCCAGGCTGGTTTCGAACCCACGGGCTCAGGTAATCCATTTGTCTCAGCCTCCCAAAGTGCTGGGATGACAGGCTGAGCCTGGTCAGAACATATAACTTTTACTTATACCACACGGTGGGGTTTGATTATACTGTATTTGGAATTTGTCTGCATTTATCATCATTTTATTTTTTTGTATATAGCTTTTGTCAGGTGTGAGTACCCAGGTGAAACCTGCTCCACCATTTGAGCTGCTTTCTGTCTATATTCTTTGACTCGTTTCTGTAAATACTTCTGTATGCCTGTAACACCATCTAGGTCTGGTGTCGGGGCAGGGGGGTGCTTTTTTTTTTTACTGCGGTTCAATTTCTGTGCTTGTTATTCATCAACCCGAGTATTTTTTTCTTCCTTGCTAATTTTAACAGTCTGTTATTTAAAAATCCTATTTTATCTATTTTCAAATGCATTTGCAGAAAGTTGCTCCCAAGGGCTCTCATCAAGTTTTTCAGGCTTTGTATGCATTTTAGTCCGTTTTATTAGATTTTTCTCAAGGAATGAGGTGTTGAGTTTGTGGATATGCTTTGCTTTCGCGATTTTCTTCTCTCCATTGTCCTAGTTTTTAAATACTTTGAGTTATACTGGCCTTAGGCCTTAGCTTCTTTCATGCATTTTGCCACCTAAAAATAAGACACTGCCGGGCTGTAAATGCTGACCTAAGCTGGCCTCAGTGCCCCCTGAGTGGCTGTGTGCACTCTGTCCAGCTCTAAGGACAGGAGAATCCCAACGGCGCTGCCTTCCTGACCCGGGGGCTAGAAATAAGCTTTTAGGTTGCCAAACACCGTCTTAGTAGTCTTTGCCCTTGTTTTGGAAACGTTTTGTGTATGTTCTGTGTGGGGGAAATAATGCACATTTCTCTATTTTTAGGGGCAAACACGATCAGTTTCCGAGAGAGACAGCTGACATATCACCTCGACTGCAACTTGCGCCCTCTGTGTTTTGAGCTCGTTGTCAGGCGTGTACGGGTTCACGGTTGCCCCAGGGTCCTTTCCCTCAGCTCACTGTCCCAAGATCTGTGGTGGACATCACTGATAGAGCCACACCATCTTTTGTTTGGTCAGTGCTTGTCTGTATCTCCTGCTCGTCTCTCTCACTCTCAACCTTTGTGTCTTTTTGCTCGATGTCCTCCTTGAGCGATGGCTGGTTCCCTCTGATTCGACGCTCTTCCGACGGGGTAGTTCAGTTTGCGTGGCCACATGTGTCGCGAGTGAGGCGTCTGGGCGTGTTTCTCTTGCGACTCCTGGCGCCTCCTGTCCGCCGCGCACCCTCTCCCGGGCCGTCCCCGCTTCTCGCTGGACCGACCACCTTGCTTCATTCTCCGTTTTGGTTCTAGAGCTCACATGTGCCTGTGGCTCGCCAGTGGGGCCACTACACTTCTCTCGGCCCCTCTGCCTTTTGGCATGTGCAACCTGGCTGCCGCTCGGCCCCCAGCCCGCCTGGCCAAATAAAGCGAAGGAGACGCAGGGCGACGGCGCCCCGCACAGGCCCTGCCCGCTGCCGGCCTCTCCTGCTGCACCCCCGCCTGCTGTGTGGGCGCGCGCGGCATGCGTGACCATGGGAAAGCCCTGCGGCCCGGGTGCCCCGACGGGAACCTGTGCCTTTAAAGACGAAGGCAGACGGCAGGAGCTGCGGATATTTATTCAAACTCCATCCGTACAACAAAGAAATCTGATTTTTACACTTCATGTACATCAGCAGTAAAAAAAAGTGACAGTGAATGAAACGTGACATTTAAAGTGCCGATACGAGGAAGGTCACACGAGAGTGGGTGATCCCACGATGCCCCAGAAGGAGCCACGCCCGGACGTGTCCCGCACGCCTTGCCTCCTACCCCCACACGCTGGAGGGCTGGCCGCGATGGCCTTGCACGTCCCAGGGAGGGGAGAGCCCATATGTGGAACTGGGCGGGCGGAGGCCGCTGGCCTCCACGGCAGGAGGCCGGGAACGAGGAGAGGCCTGTGGAGGGACGTGGTCAGCAGCCCCGGGCGGGGACACGCCTTTACACCAAGACACATATGTACACACAGAGACACACACGGAGGAGCTGCCCGACCAGCGCAGGGGAGGGTCTCCAAGGACAGGATTTGCTTCTGAAGCGGAAGACGGGCACCCAGAGGAGTCTCGCCTGCAGTTCGGCCGTGGCGCGAGTGACCGAAGCCGTCCCCACAGCCTTCTGGCTGGAGCATCGCAGCGGTGGAAGGCCCTCCAGCGGCTGGGCCACGAGGTGCTGCCCTGCTGGGCCAGGCCACCGCGAGGTGGGTGGTCGCTACGCCACGGTGACAGTGTCACTGCGCACAACACCCCACAGAAGCGGCCTCTGTGCGTGCTTTTAAAAACAATAAAAAATCCTAATTCAGTGAAGCTCTTTAAAAAAATCAAGTCCCCGTTATTTCTGGTAGAAAAGAAGGGTGATACTTTAAAGTACAGCGTGCGTTTTCTCTCGGGCGTGGAGCCCACGAAGGTGGGGTGCTTTGCTCTCTGCCTGCTTCTGGTTTGGGACCACCCGACGTCACCAAGGGACATGCCTGCATCCAGTGTCACTGACGGCCGCAAGACCCCGCACCACCAAGCGGAATCAGCAACATGCTGTGATGTAAACCCAAGTAAGAAAAAAATAGTTCTATATCAAATACAGTATCAAATTGTCGCTTCATGTAAACACAGTGATTCCTGGTAAAGATCTGAGGCCAAAGTACCACAAAAAATGGCCATGGGATTAGTCCCTATTCCAGAAAACCCCCACACTCATCCAAGACAAAGGGTCCCCTCGCCCCCTCCAGCGGCTGGCGGGTTCTCCCAGGCAGCCCAAGTCTGCACATCCTGAGAGCACCAGCCGGCGATGGTGGGAGAGGCGGTGGTGGCAGGGCTGGCGTGGGGCATCCCGCCCGGTGTCCCCGCGTGGGGCCTGTCCCCGCAGTGCCTGCTCTGTGGGCTCCAGATGTCCTGAGGAGGCTGCAGGGGCCGGGTCTTCCTGGGGAACCGGCTCGCGCCCTGGAGAGTCCTGGAGGCCAGGCAGCTCCAGGTCATGGGGGTGTCAGCGTCTTCCTCTGCCAGGATGC